TCGAAATAGTCAAATTGTTTACACGTGCAGGTCTTGCTATTCAGGTTGACACTTACCTTGGATGTACCATCATGCACTTCGAATTCGAACCGATCAATTGGCCTGACATGATGATATCGAACTCGTTCTGCCTCTTTTTTAAGAATAATTTCTGCATATTCAGTAAGAACTGTTCCTCGACTAGAGGCAGCCGTCCGCCTCTCATAAAACCATTGTTGTAATAGAGCTCGACAATTTTCAAATAGAGCTGTTATTGGCAAAGCACGAGCATGAACAAGTACCGCATTCATGGACTCAGCAAGATTCGAGGTCATTTGGTTATACCTCATTCCAGGTTGATATGCACGAGCCCACTTGTYGAATCCGATGTCTTTTAAGTATTTCTGGACTCTTGGGAATCCGGCTAGTTGGCCCCAATAGTATCGAAACTTTGATATCTTGAACGTCTTTGCTGCTTTAGCCAAAATTATTTGCATTCCCTCGTTTCTAAACTTCTCATTCAATTTGATCGCTAAATGATGCATACATGTGACGTGTGCTGCATCAGGAAACACCGTTGCCACGGAGTTCGTGATACTTTGATGCTGGTCAAATATAAAAACCAAACCATTTATGTCACCTATACAAATCTTAACCCGCTCGATAAACCAAGTCCATGAATCATCACACTCCTTATCGACAACACCAAATGCAAGAGGGTAAATTTGGTTGTTGCCATCTATTGAGGATGCAGTAAGTAGTACTCCTTTGTACTTCCCCTTCAAATGTGCTCCATCAACCACAAGTATAGGTCGTATGCAACTTCCAAAACCCCTAATCGAGCATCCTAAGGCCATGAATGCGTACTTGAAGAATGTGTCGTCCTCCAATTTCATGTGGAAAACCGTTCCTTCATTCACGGCCTTCAGAGCCTGTCCATACTTATGTAAAGTAGAGTACGACTCTCTAGGCGATCCCATCAATAGGCCCAGTGCGACTTCTTTCGCTCGCCATGCCTTTTCATATCGGACATTGACACTGTAATTCTTTCGCATATCATTCACAATATCTTTAGGCCTGTAACGACGGCTGACCTCCTCAAAGTTTGACTTTATCAACTGCCCACTACCCAACTACCAGCTTGTCGATGATCATGTGCCAGTGTCGATCGTTCGCAACTGTGATTCTCAGAAAACGTTGAGATGAGAAGGTATCCGAACCTTTGATTATTCTTGCACGTAGGGCCCATTTGCACCCATTTTCCGTGCATGCAACAGATAATAACTTCGTGGTAGATTTCTTAACCTTGTACTCAAAATTCTTGGTGATAGCAAAACCAGCCAGTTTAAATCGTAATTCATCCTTAGACCGAAAAACACTGCCAACTGCAATGTCGTGAACAAAATCATCCTCATTACCAATTGTATCCATCTATTCTAAGGACGCATGTTGACCATTAGTAGTTGCACAAGGGGCATTCCTACTTACAGACTGTACTTCCACAACAGGTGTTCTTGGGGATGGATCACCGCCCCAAACTGGGTCCTCAGCTTCATCATCCTTGTACTTATACTCATTCTCAGTTCCTGTGTAGCCATCATCCTCATTCTCATACTCATGGTCCTCATCACCTCCAACATCATCCCACTGCCAGAAGTGTTCTTGTTCATCATCGCCTAAATTGCAAGGGACAATATTGTCTGTCAATGGAGTCATAAAATTGTACAGAACATGGCGGGTTGATAGTATCTATAGGTGAGTGCATGTGATTTAGTGGGATAGGAGAAGAAACGTTTTGTTCTACTTGGTATGGAAATGAAGCCAATGTTTCGGTTTGGGGATATAATGTACCATCACGTGAGTTACTACCACTACCTTGTCTTTCCTTTGGTACAACAGATACATACAAAGGCACTTGGAAGGGATGTAGAGGGCCCATAAGGTAAAAACCAAGGCTAGTATCATCGGATATATAAAAGTTCGGCACTTGGTACTCAAGTTTGTAGATACATTGTAGAACAATATTGAAAAGATCAGGATTTATTCTAGTCATCCTAAAGATCGCACTTACAAGGTCTCTATATGTTATTCCTTCATCAACATTTAACCCACCCATAACTCCACCTTCGTATACAGTGCCTGTCTGATTCCACTGACCCCCATATATCACAAAAAGGCGAACCATTTTATTCTGCATTGTAAACGATAATTGAAAAACAATTAGAAATGGGAAGAATATATAAAATAAACTTCAACCTCGGGCGGGAAAGATATTTTCCCGCCCGAGGTGAAGTTCAATACGCAGCCTTGATCGAGGTGATTTCAGTCCCTCACCCGAGGTTCAACAAAAACGTGATTCTCGTTCGAGAATCATAGCACCTCGCTCGAGAACGACTAGAAATTCAAAACGAACAGTGCGGGAGGAATGAACAAATGRGTTTAAAACAAAATAATAAACGTTATTGCTACTCCCACTGTAACAAAAATAAACCAAACGAGTACCCAATAAAAACACATATGTTAAAATGTAGACATCAAGCAAGATTATTGAGCAAAAGGAGAAAACATAAAAAACAAATAACTACCTCTTCCAAAGTCTTGAAAATTCCAAAGAAAATATTCACAAAGCTTTTCAGATATTTWGGATTGTGCAGAAAGAATATTCACGATAACGACATATGTTTTCTGAGGTTAGTAATGACATGTACTGATTAGTTAGGTACAACTTGATGTGCATTAAATTGGTTTTGTAGTGCATTCAAGCTACCTCGGGCGGGAATTATGTAAACGTTCATTTGTTACATTTAATAGCATTTTGGTCATTTCACCTGCGTCTGACACATCATCAATGCTAAAAGTAGTGGGTTAGTTGGGTACTGTGAGAGGGTAGGTCATAATCGCGCGGTTCGTCTTCTCCTTCTTTGTTTGAAATCGATACAGTTCCATCATCTTCTCTATTTATCTTCTCCTTCTCCGTTCGAAATCGCTCGAGGTAAGTTCGATTTCTATTAGATTTTGTTCTTTTCCATCACATTGAAAGTTAGGGCTTCAATTTTCAACTATGTTTAGGAGTTCAATGTTTGATTCTTCCGTCGATTACGTTCTCTGGTGTTCGGATGAACGAATACATGATTAATGATTAATATCGCATCAATTTAGGTTTCGTTTCTCATGTATTCTGTATTTCGAAAAATAGGAAAACTGATTGTTGTTTCTACCTTCTTTGTTCTTGATTTTTTTTGTGTATTTTTATGTCGATATGGTCTCTGCGTGTGAGGGTGTGAGGTTTATTCGAAATATGTCTGTAGGCGGTTCATTTGAAATATTTGAGGTGGTGAGGTGGGAGGTTGAAGAAGAAGTGCTCTCTGTTATTTTTCTCGAGTTCGACCTCGGGCTCAGCCTCGCCCGAGGTATTGAAAGATGTTCACCTCGAGGTTGGTACTCGGGCTCAACCTCGCTCGAGGTCGAACCCGAGAAAAATAACAGAGAACACTTCTTCGTTGTTTGAACTTTGTTTGTTTGAATCTCAGTGTGCATGTTTGTTTGCATTTACTTATAGRAAATGGAAATGGTACCGAAGGTCCCTCCCGCGATGTATGCCTCGTCCCAAGTGTCTTGTCTGTCGCACCTAGCAAAGACAGCCCAGGATATTAAAGAGAAACTTACCCCCCATCAGCTTCGTCTTTTTAGGAAGACTGTATTTAGCCATCTCATTGATGTGGATCTAGTATTTAATGGGCAGTTAATACATAGCTTGTTACTTAGGGAGGTATTGGTAGCTTGTTACTTAGGGAGGTATTGGTAGAAAATAGTAGTCCGGACACCATTAGTTTCAACTTGTTCGGGAGTAACGTGTCATTCGGTTGGAGAGAATTTGACCTCATAAGCGGCCTAAAATATTCGAGAGCACAGGTTAGGAAAGACACGTTTCCTGCCAGGCTTAGAACATTGTACTTCGATGATGACGTAAACTTGACCTTGGCCAATTTGGAGAAGAAGTACAAAATGTTACGGTTTGATGATGATTGGGACGAGGTGAAGGTCTCAATTGTGTACTTCGTGGAACTAGTACTTCATGGACGGGAGAGAAGTTTGAAGTTTGACAGTAGTTTGCTAGGAATAGTAGATGATTGGGAAGTTTGCTGTAACTATGACTGGGGATCCATATCGTTTGACAAGACAATAAGAAGTCTTCAATGAGCACTGACGAGTAAGACAGATGATGGGAGGTTGAGGAAAGCGTACAGTCTGTATGGTTTCCCGTGGGTGTTTCAGGTAAATAAATATCATATAATTGCCATATTTATTTGGACCCACTAATGATTGCTAACATTCTCTATAATTTATACAGGTGTGGGGGTATGGGACGATATCGTCCCTGGATGGACGAGTTGCTATAAAAGTTAATGATGACGTGGTACCCCGCATGCTCCGGTGGAGGTGTGTTCGTTCGATAGGATGGCTGATGCTGGAAAGAGACATATTCCAGTCAACAACAGTAAGTGACTAACTTTATCATGCACTTGTTTTCGAACCACACCTAAGTGATATCATATTTCGTGCAGGCCAGAGCAAAGAGCTTGGAACAAACTGAATCAGAGACGATATTTTTTAATAGGACGTTCGAACCACCAGCATCCAATGATGTGGAAAATGATGAAGAAGGGCTCCAAAGTCCGCGACCCGCATGCGAGGGCCACGACGATATGATCGAATGTCCACCGGTCGATGATATTGAAGACGGAGAGGGCACAAATAAGAAGAAAGAGAAAAAGAAGAAGAAGATCAAGAAGAAGGTGTATAAGCGGTTAGGAAGGTTGGACATGCGTATCGATGCCGTGGAAAACAGGCTCAAGGGTGTGGAAGGTGAGTTAAAATCCATACGGAAGTATTTGCGACGGCTTGCCAGGGTAAGTAGATAAGTTTATTAAATTTTGTATTCCCGTATGTTTTTTAAAATTTGGATGGTGTGATATGTCATTTGATGTATAGGGTCAACTAGTCGATCCTGCTGAAATGCGAAGAGCCAAAGTAGGCGGTCATGCTGGTGGAGCAGGCCACATGAACGTCGACATGGTAGAGGTTCACCAGGTCCAAAATGCATTTGATGTTTCGAAAGAACCAAATGTTCACCAAGTACTGAAGGTCAACATAGGAGATGACGCAGGGGTTCGAAACGTGGAAGAGGTTGAGTCGGACTCGAACCAGTTTCAGACACTGACGCTAGAGGTATCGAATCGTACATCATATACTTCATTTTGTCAATCTGTCGAGGTTCTAACTAGTTTACTTTCAGTCCCAATACGTCGATAGTGCATC